ATATAATTATGTCATATACCCGCTATAACTGTTAAGTCTTGGCTATTTGTGATTCAAATGCAATTGTAAATATGATATTGAATTTATCTTTATTGTAAAATGCCTGGACGCAATCTGAATTCTGAAATTACTTCTGCATTCGTTTGATCCCATTTCATTGTCCCTTTTGGTTGAAAACTAATGCACGAACACTTAGGTGGAACTGAATCAGTGCAAGCAACTGATTGAATCACACGGTTGTTCGTAATGATCAGTTCTTTATTCACCACAATTCATCCTCCATAACTCCATGGCCTTACAACAGTCCCAAGTAGTTTTAAAAATTAGTTTATTAACTATCGTAGCTTGCTTTAGGCGCGATTAATAAATCATCACGGCTGTGGGTACGGTTCCCGTGGCACGGTCGTGATACCTAATCCGAATTCGGGGGTACATTTCATGTGACCCGACCACAACTTCGAACAATAATAAAATACACGTGTTGCAGATCGTGGGTACGGTTCCCGTGACACGATTTGCAACATGTACAAAAAAAAATAAGAGTACGACAATCGTAACTTGTTTCAGAAATAACTCCATAAATAAATATAAGCGGTTATAAAGTCAAAATTGCACAATAGGTTTAAAACATGTAATAAATCAGATAATTAGGCCAATTATTAATAGTTGAGCGACCGTGCTAAAACCACGGAACCCGGGAATGCCTAACACCTTCTCCCGGGTTACAGAATTCCTTACCCGGTCTTCTGATTTTGCAGACTTTAAAACAGAGTCAAATTTCCTCGATTTGGGATTTAAAATAAATCGGTGACTTGGGACACCATAAATTATCCCAAGTGGCGATTCTAAAAATTAAATAAATAATCCCATTTCAATTAATGTCACTTAAATTAGAAAAACTCCTTATATTCCCCTGCGGAAAAAAGGAGGTGTGAAAGACATAATGTTGAAGAACGGTAAGAGCGAAAAGACACAAAGGTGGAGAATAGTAGCAACGAGAAGACATAAAGGTGCAGATTTAAAAAAGGAGTGGGATAAAGAGATGAGATATGTCACAAAGATCAGATCAATAATTTAAGAAAATGATATATATATATATATATATATATATATATATATATATATATACTCATCAAAATACTAATACTCACACTTAAGAAATCACTCAAAAGTCCATTCCAATTGACTTGCGAAAATTTAAATGAAGTCACTCAAATATGAGAATGCATTTAAGTTAACGAAACTTTACGGGGCGTAACAGTTATCATATGGCAGCTATAGCCAAATAATATTTGACAGGCTGACAGCCGATAGCCAAAGGATCCAAAATAAACAGAAATAACAGAAGCTCAAGTAGACTTTTATGGAGTTTACAAGAGAATCGCCCCTTATATCGAATTCATCCAAATCAGTTGGACAAGCATCAGAAACTATTAATGACACAACTTTTATCATCATCATACATTGTACTCTCACTATTAAAGACTCATATGAAACTTCAATTTGAAATTCAAAAAATTTTCATAGTGGACTTTTGAGTTAGAGTGGTTGAAGTTCATTAGAAACAACAACAATAATACCAGTGAATTCCAACAAGTTGAATGTGGGGAGTGTAGTATTATGCAGATCTTATCCCTACCCTAGGAGGGCAGAGAGGCTATTTCCGATAGACCATCGGTTAAGTCGAAGTTTTAGAAACACTAGGAAAAAGCTATATACAAAATATAAGGAAGATGAGGTGATTTCAAATGGTTAAGAGTCGAAATTCTGAGATAATGTGGAAAACGTTAATGCGACAATGTATATAATGTGTGTATGTCACTGTATATCACATACATATTTTCATGGAAATATATGAATATACAGGAAAGATATACACTAATATACACCGCCTCAAAACTCATTTTCTCCCATTTTCATACGTCGCTGTAACAAAATAATCCACCATTTCAATATAAAATAGAAGGAAGAAGATGGAAGAAAAAGAAACTTTCAATATGCTAAAATTGAGGAAAAGTCATATATATGCTAACGCTGTTTGGATTCTCATATGTATTGTGCTTCTATGTTTGTAGGCAGAAAGTAAACTATTTGGGATAAAACTATTGGATGAGATCATAAAAAGGATATGGGTTAAATTTTACATTGTTTGGGGAGGTTTGAAATTATCTCTTTGTATATATGCCCATTTCCTTGGGATTTCCTTCTCCATAATTGGCAGACTCGACTAGCTTTGGAAGGGAAAGTGCAGCTCATTTTGTAGAGTATGAGAAATTGAATGCGATAGGTTAGGAGACAACTTCTCAATTTACATAAAAGCAGACACTTGGCTATAGGGTGCCATTTTAAAAAATTTTTTTTGAGAAATTAAGTTAAAACATCTCAATAAGAGTAAGTGGACTATTTCTTGCCATTAAGTGAGCAGAATATCCTAGGAGTGCCAAATTGCCCTTTTCATAAATCATTAAAATGATTGTGGGTCACTTTCAAAGATTATGATTTATGTTTTACTTATCTGTATGTGTCATCTTATTTTATACCATATTTGAATATGCCTTGTGTTTCTGGATATACCTGTTTATGTATTTATACCTGTTGGAGATTCTGTTGTTTGGTCTGATTTATTGGTCTTGTGTAGTTACTATTAATAGGTATGACATTATGGTTACTCTCTTGTTGTTTGATATGATGAATTTCGAGGGAATTCTTGGCATGGATTGGTTTTTCCCGTATTACGCTATCTGCCATGATAATGGAGAGGTCATTTGATCAGTCTAAGAGTAGGGTGATTTTATTTTTGAAGATTCAACGTATGATTGAGAAGGGGTATTTAGCATATATACTTGGCTTTCATTTGGAATACTAGTGCAGAGACTCCCTCTATGGATTCGGTGCAGGAGGTGAAAGAATTTCCTGATGTGTTTCCTACGGATCTACCGGGAATGCCACTAGATAGGGATATTAATTTTGGTATTGATTTGGTGCCGAGCGCCCATCCCAAATCTATTCAACTATATTTTATCGCTTTAGCAGAGATGAAGGAGTTGAAAAAGCAATTGCAAGATTTGTTTGACAAGGGATTCATAAGATTTAGTGTTTCACCTTACGGTGCACCAGTGTTGTTTGTGAAGAATAAGGATGGTACTATAAAGATGTGCATTACTTATGGGTTGCACGCCGCAACAGGTTTTATTAGCGCTTGGGCAGGATCCGCCCATCCAGAGTATGATATACCATCAGTGAGCGCATGTACCGTACAATTCTGAGTGATTGAAAGTGGTGAGTAAGAAGTGTGAGACAGTAGAATTGAGTACTCTAAGAGTGTGAGTACATGAGTTTGTCACTGTTATGCATTACATATGACATGCACATTTGACATGTACACATAGAGATGTAACATTCCTCATATCAGTTATACTTGGCATATTTTTTCAGTGTTGAGCTTAAACTGTTAAACTTGAAAGCATGTCTACATTTCTGTACTATATACAAACTGATTATAAGATTTCTCTAAGTTATTACTGTCATTTCCCTGTTATATCTGTACTGTTATTATCTGGATTTGGACTGTACTTTTTTGAGCTCGTCACTGCTTTCAGCCGAAGGTTAGTCCTGTTACTTATTGAGTACATTAGGTCGGTCTTACTCATACTACACTCTGCACTTCGTGTGCAGATCCAGGTACATTGCTAGACTTGGGGCAGTATCTGCTTGGAGACTATTGAGGTAGCTACTATGGCATCCGCAGGCCTCGACCCTCCTTCTTTTCAGTTTATTTAGCATTGTTCTATCTTTCCAGATAGTTGTATTAGAAGTTTTGACTGTGTTGATACTTAGTAGCTCATGTACTCGGTGACAGCCGAGTTTTGAGAGATTTTGTAGTTGACTGACAGTTGTGCTTGTCGGTTTATGAGATTTTTCACTGTTAAACTTATTTCATCATGTTTTCATTTTAAAATGCGCAGTTATTTGTGATTGTGAGCTTGCCTAGTAATGTGATAGGCTCCATCATGACATGTTGAGTTTTAGGTCGTGACACTTTATGTCCACCCCCTGCACTATTTTACAATAATAAGTCTTCATATTTTATGCCTATAAAAGGCTATGTAAATTGCAATGGAACGACACACCAAAATTAGGGAAAAGCTTCTTTTTTCTATCTCTCTTTCTTATTCTATTTTACTAAATTGCTTTTATTTTATAATATATGTGCAATTTTAATGTTTTTTTTCCTTAATCATTTTGATGTTTGGTTGATATAATTTTTTTTTGTTAAAAGATCATTTTTTCACAGCAAGTTTTTCCAATTTTTGAAACAATCACTAGGTCGTTTGGTACGAAGGATAGGTATAATTGATCCCGTGATAGAAGTTGGGATGATATTTATCTCATATTTGGTTATAGATACCTGAAGAAGTTTATACTAAAATGGTGGGATTAGTTATCCCATATAAAAGGCGGGATAACTAATCCAATAAAATATCTCATCACATGGAATATTCTTATTTATCCCACCATTCTACCAAATGCTAATTGACTCTCCATGACGTGGAAAGTTATTGGAGATTTGTTTCTACATTTGGAACCGCTAGCTGCGATTTATGGGGGCGTCATATCAGCTCCAAAAATGAAGCATGTAATTCAGTTACTCCCTTCAAAATTTTATTCTGTATAATGGTCTTGTGCATGAGCAGATCTAAACAGTTATTAATTTGAATTCTTTATGTACACATATACATTGTACTAACTCAAACTTAAGAAAATTTGATACATGTAAATTCTCAAATGTAAAACCGAGTTACTAATGTCCGGAGGCAAATTTATATTATAGAGTTACTGAATTTAGAATGAGGGTGATTTCACTATATGTATTCATAGTTTGAGAAAAGAACAATAAGCTCAGTTGAACTCACCGAACAATAAGTTCAATTGCTTTATGTGACTTAGCTCCTATCTATTGAAGTTTTAATCATGGAGAAAGACGAGTTGGAGTACAAGAATCAAAATTAATTTCCCATTTAAGATAGATAACAACAAAGTAACAAATACACCAAAGTTCCACGAAGTAACAACACTTGACTTAAGTAAAGCAAAGAACTTTGTTCATAATAAAACTTGCTGACTTGGCCTAACAAACTTTGCTTCAGAAAAAAAAAAAAAAAGAAAAAAGAACCTTTAGTCAAAACTTTTGCTTCAATTGACTCTTTTACAATCTGACCGAATCTCTCCATTGGTCCCAGTTAATGGGCTAATATTTCCCATATTAATCATTGACTGAACGAAGCTTTGAAAGAATGTATTTTGGCTACTGCTAAATGTGTTGACAATTGAGACAGTTGCTGCACCAGCTGTGGAGAATAACTCTTGATCTGATTGCAGAAGCCCTTGATTATTCTGCAAATTTGCAAAATAATTATTGTCAAAACTATCCGAGGTTGTAGGATCAAGGTTAGCCAAGGTTGTGGCATTTCCATTTTGAGGACATATTTGCCTTAGGTTGGCCAAATAAGTTGTGTTTAAGGTAGGGTCAGGATTTCCTGTGCCATTAAAATTGTTAAGGCGGGCACTGAATACGCGACATTGGGCACGTCCAAATGTGTGCGCACCTAAAATAATAGAAAAGAAAAATGATATTTTTAGACGATAAAATTGTTTGACTGTCCAAATAGTAATAAAAATATAGTATAAAATAGGACAGAGGGAGTAATTGATTACCAGATAAGGCAACTAGATCGGTAACGTTAAGGCCAACAGCAGAAAACTTTGCTGTAATGTTGCTTAAGCCTTCAACAGGAGAAGGAATAGAAGTATTGGCTCCTCCCTGGTTTGCTGTTCTGCTGTCTCTTCTCCCTAATGAAACATTCCACGAAGGTCCACCTGCCTGTACCCCAATTGACATGATTAAATAATTGATTCAGAAAAGATTTCAATATTTACTCTTAATATTCTATTGGGTATGCAAACAAAGTCTCATATTGATAACTGAAAATAGTAGGTGTAGGGAGTCTATATATTATGTGTAGGGATCTCTCAATGGTATGAGCCTTTTTGAAAAGAATTGTGCGGGCTTGGCACAAACAACACTATGTTAAGAGTAAATATTTGGGTTGGTTTAGCCCAACAGTTGGTATCAGAGCCCAGATACAGCGGGATGAGTATGGCGATGGTAGAGTGATGGTGCGGAGCTCGGTTTGCTTACCCTTACAAGTTGTGGATCGTAGTAGTGGATCAAGCCTGCACGATTTTTCTCAAAAGGACTCATACCATTAAGAGATCCCTACATATTATATGTAAGTGCCCAATATTTTCAGCTACTAATATAAGACTTTATTCGCATGCTCAACACATTTAACGAAGGAAAACAAAAACCTTGCAAAAAAACAAACAATGTAAGGATTTGCTTTGCCTTTCCTTGCTTACAGTTACTTCCATTTCCAATAAATTTCTAGTTAGTATATATACCCATAAGAACCAACTATCACCGTATAGATTCCACCCACTCTCGGGTCATCAGTCCTCTCAATATAGTAACAGGTAACCTATCTTATTTTACCGGTTACTAGACGTACATTTTGTGGACAGTTATATGCAGTTACAGTTAGTTAACATGACAGTATACAAATTATTTACACAGTCAGTGCATGTAAATTAAACTCAAAGTACATATATAAGATTGCATACCAATGAAACTGAGGCTTCTGCAGCAAGAGCAAGAATGTCAGCACAAGATACAACACCAGGGCAAGAACTCTCAACAGCAGATTTGATGTTGTCAACAACATCGAAACCTCTTGCGGAATTAGCATTAGGCGCTGCATCTTTCTCACTTACTATATTTGCTGTTGCATTATTATCCAACAAAAGCGAAGCATCACATCCCTGGAAATCACATGTAACAGAAAATCAATTTATCATAAAATAGAATAATAGAAGTCACTTAAGAAGTAACAAATCTATTGTTTAAGAAATTAAATAGTTAAATCATGGTTTTACGTTGACAAAACAATCATGGAAATGGAGACGAATGAGGCTGGCCCCAATACGAGCATCAGATTGCAAAGCTTGCTGAATAACATTTTGCACAATGCTTGAAACATTTGGACATGTAGTTGCGTAAAAATTAGCACTCAATTGAGCATTTGATCCATAGAAACTGAAAATTGCTAGTAAAATGCATAAAATTGCTAAAGAAGAAGGAGCCATATTTGTTTCGGATTTCTTATTAGGTAGACAATTTCTTTTACTTGTGTCTCGTGAATAGGTAGAGATCTAAGCAATATATACAGAAATAATTGCCTTGCTTTCCTGATTTATTCTTGACAATTTCAAACATCATAGTCAAACAAAATAATTTGCTTTGTCTGGTAATATTAGGAAACCTCTACTACTAGTCTACTACAACTAAGTTTTGTGGAAAATTGTTTAGCCATATGAGACTATATCAACATTTGAGTAAAAAATTAATTTCCACTGCTTTCTTGATTAATTAAAATCTTGTGAAACATGTCCTCGGTTTTTAGAATTTGTATTAATTTTGAAGAGTTTGAGATGTTACCCACTTCGCACATAAGATAAATTTCTTTACTGTGTGAATGATATAGGCAAGTTATGACAGATTGTGACAGCGTCATGAAAAATCAATAAAGTTGATTTAACATTTTAACACCTTTGATAGAAAGTCCTCAAAGATTCTCCATAATTTAACACAATATAACAATGTGGGCCGCCTGAGTTCAACCCTACCGTAATTCTGCACCTTGTGATTCTTTGAAAGGAAAAGGGTTAATTTTGCTCATTTACTGTGCGAAATTGTTTAATTTTAACTCCTGTTATATTTTCGGTACAAATATACCTCTAATGTTCTTAAAGTGTTCAAATATAGCTCTCTTTTTTAGGGCTATCCAAGATGGACGTCCAATCCTACATGATACGGGTATTTTGATGACTGGCAGTATTTAATTACATATTTATCTCATGTGGCAGCGTGCTTGTTATTTCCGATAGCGTGTTGATGAATTTCTAGTTATTTTCATTTTACAAGAAATTCAAAATTAGTTTATGGATTTTTTTGGTCACAAATTTAGTTTTATGACTTTGCTTCCAGAAATCCTTCTTTCAATGTTCATCCCTCAAAACAAATTCTCTTGTATTCTTACTAAAAGTTTAACTTTTGCTAGCCTCAATTGTACCCTGTTTGTGTTGATGAGACAGTACCAATGGAAAAATGAGGCCTCAAACAGTATGCAATACATTCAATACTGTAACGATGGGGTAAAATTTGAAGACAGCTTTGGTAAGAATGAGCCATAAAACATGTGAACCAAAGAAAACCAGATTTAACTAACTGAAAATGCGACTTCAAGTGCTCCAGTGAGCAAGTGGCTAAAAAGTACTAAGTCGCAACACGTCAACTGTTTATTACACTTAAGTTAATGTTGCATATATTAACAGCTTATAGCTGTAATTCATTATATAGATATTCGTGGTATTTCCAATTAATAGTGTGTTTGGCCAAGCTTCTATATCACCTAATTTTAAGTAGTGTTTTTTTCAAAAATATTTTTGATGAGAAATAATTTGTGTTTGTCTAATTGATCTGAGCAATAATTAATGTCTGACCAAGCTTTTGAAAAGTGCTTTCAAATATATTTTTGTTTACCCTAAAATTCGAGTAACAATTAAACTTGTATTGTGGTTTTAAGGATATGTGATTTACTCCAATACCAATTGATAAACAAGGAATTAAATAGATAAATTAAAGAATAAAATAGATCAAACCAGTGTGTAAGTTAAATCTCGATCTCGATCTGTGATAATCTCGAGGTATGATAACGGGAATAACAAATGATAAAACAACTTTGATGAATAGTAAGTGAAAGATCAAGAGAATAATGTGCGTATATTTTCTTATCAGTGAACAATGACCCGTACAAATGAATGGGATCCCCCTTTATATAATAGAGGAGTCTTAAATAAGGTACACTTCTAATTATAGTAGGAAGTCATATTTGACAACTGTTTAACCGCCAAAGACCAATCCATTCCGAATTCACGCCGTGATCTCCTGCCCGTTGCGGGTATCTCGCTCTTTCCGTTACTGAATCATACCGGTATCATCTCGAAGCATGCCTTCTTCTGACCACGGTAAGTGTTATCGACCTCGGTCTTAGAAAGGAACTTCGACCCCGAGCTCGACGTTCTGATCTTCCGACGTGGTATCACCTTTTCCATCGAGGGACAAAATCGATAGCTCTGATTTCCATCCTATATAATTTTTTCTCAAAAGTGCTTTTCAAAATATGTTCCAAATGGAATATCACACTTTTATATTTAGAAATAATTTAACTAAAATAAAATTTTTTTACCATTAATAAAATGATTTACGGTCACACAAATATCCCAGGCATATTTTAGACATAAGTTTCAAAAGTTCTCTTTTTTTTTATTTTTTATTTTTTAAAATATTTCATGTCTAGTAAAATGGTGGCACATAAATTGGGACGGAGAAAGTAATTTTTTTGGTCGACATGAATCTTTTCGTCGAGTATACTTTAACGAGTGACATTTGAAACAATGAATCTCTAGACATATTTGCTTGGTTGGCTTGGACTAACGCGGATAATCTTATTGACAGCCGAATCGCAAAATGTTGCAATCAAATGGAAAATTACACAATTAATTTTCAAATCAAGGGGGGTAAAAAGAAAAAAAGATTAGATATAAGGGTTTGGTGAGAGTAGTTGGAACTGAAGTACGTATAAACTTTGACTATTTACAGCCCTAATAGCGAGCCATAATTACCTAATCAAAGCAATTGGTTTCTAAAATATGCCTTACGACATTGAAATGATCTCTAATCTTCCTGCATGTACATCACACTTAGCTTTACGCGCTAAAGAATAGATTATTAGTACCAGAAAGGGAAGAAAAGAAAAACATAAAAGTTAATGTATATCTAATAGAGCCTAGGAAGGCAATTTATCAAACAACAATTATTTTCAAGCTTGCTGGTTCATTTGGCTTTTTCTTCGTGTGTCAACGATATTGAGTGTTGTAATTTGTCCGAAAGAAATTCGTTTCAAATGTCCAAACAGGGTATAAATATCATTTCATACATATCTCTCTCTCCAACAAATTGACCCTTATACCCTACTCAAGGAAAAAAGTAAGATTTCAGATTAAAATTTTCATTCTCTCTTGACTTTCATGAAGGAAAATAAAAGTTCACATTTTTTCTACCATTACTTAAGTAAACTATATACACATGAGTATTATCCTTAATTATATACCATATCTTTTTTATAACATAACTATAAAGGTTAATATTAATGTATATTATGTAATTATTTATCTTTAATTGACCTATCCAATACTCTAATTACATACATGAGTATATTATGCTTGCCTTTATCTCAGCTTCTTATTGTTGAGCTGAGCTTATATTGGTTTTGATGATTAACAAACAATTATAAAAAAAAATCAGGTCTCTTAAAATAACTTTCAGAAGCTGAAAGTTATTTTCTAATGCAAGTTGGTTTGAGCTGGAAAAATAATTTCTGTTGAAGGTCTGGTTCCTTGAATGATTTACCTCGTGGGATGAAAATATGGTAGTAATTGGAGGAATTCTTGGTCAATATGGATTCATTAATTATGAAAATACTTGCATAAAAAGGAAAAGCGTGTGAAGGAGTCTTTTAAGAAAAAAAAAATAATCCTGTTAGAATTTGTTTCCTTAAGAGATAACCGATTATCTTAGGTCTTGGAGCTAAAAGTGAAAAAATGGGCCAACCTCAATCCTATATAAAACATCATATTGTTGTTATTGAAGACTACTTCTGTTTCGCACAAACATTGAGACTACTCTTGAAAATATCAATCATCCCAAGAAGATACTTTCGAGATTCAAGCTGGTCAATTGAAGAGCCTGTTCCAAAAGACGAAGCTGTTCAAATTCTTTAGTTATTTAAGTTGAGTAAATTGTTCTTTAATTGTAACACATTTTGCTTATAAGAAGCGTATTGTCGGGTTATCAAATCCGAAGAGTTTGTTTAACTTTCTAGGTTAAATTTTAGTCTTTAAAGAGGTAGCTATAATTGGGTTGATTGTAGAGGTTACTGTACTAGAGTTAGTCTCTTTGTTTATTGAGTTGTAACCTAAAATCACTCTTTGAAGTTAGTAAAATTTTGAGACAAATCTTACGGGGGGCCAGTAAGCCGTGTTTTTTACTCCCTTGAGTAGTAAGTTTTTTAGGTAAAGTTGTTTGTGTATTTTATATTTTCACACTTCATTTTTCAGTTTGTGCTAGATCAGTTAAGCCAAATAATTAGATTCTTTGACACACGAAAATTAGGTTAGACAAGACATAATTCACCCATCCCTCCCTCTCGTGTGTAGGTGAATCTTAAAATAATATTTACTCCTTCACATTTAACCAAGGGTGAATCTAGTGAAGAAGCCATAGATTCATCAGAACTTAGTAATTTTGGCTTATACTACATATATGTATTAAAAATCCACGAAATAAATATAAGTAATTGATTTGGAATCACAAAAATTTAATGAGATATGGTAGAATTTCTAATTCAAACCCAAAAATTCAAATCCTGAAGCTGCCTCTGCATTTAAATTTTAATCAGGGTTAAAATCACATGTTTACACTCTACCAAAATGTCTTTCAAAAAAATAGTTATTGATTTATTATTATGGAAAGGGGGAGAAAAGTTGATGATCTAATTAAGATAGCACGAAGAGGTTGAAAACAAGTGGTAACAAACACTGCGCTCGTAGAGAGTGTAAACTGTAGGGCACTTGCCCGTGTTGTCCAGCCAAAGGTTCAATGGCCTAATCCTATTCTCTTTTGGTTTCCATTCCTATTCGGAATTGGATTCGGTGTTTATTCCTATATAGAGTTGGTTTTGGCTTTAAGAGAAAGCACCACTCATGATCTATAAATAGGACAACCGTGGAAAATTGTTCTATGCTCATTGATACAAGTCTTTGAAAGACTTAAGCACATAAGAGTGGTTTTTGAGAGAGCTTTCATCAAGAGAGAAGAGAGAAGAAAAGTATTTGTTTTTGCTGTAGATTTTTATTCCGACCAGCCAACTTCAAATCACATTTTCTGATTCGTTAATCGTTAGATCGGACTGATATTTTGACTGAGTGCTCGTAACATCTTGGTCTTTAATTTGAACGGTAGAGACTGTATTTAGAGGTCTGTAGCATCTGATTTCGAGCCTCGAACAACAGCTTTATTTTTGTGGA